CACACACACACACACACACACACACACACACACACACACACACACACACACACACACACACACACACACACACACACAAACACATGTACACATTCACAAACACATGCTGTAATTGGTATTTAAAAGTATTGGAAAATAAGTGAGAATGTGTCTGTTTAATATAAGTAAATAAACTTCATTATTTTGAAGTGTTTACTCATACGTGTACAGTAGCTCAGTAAATGTAACTGAGCATGAGTCTGCGTGGATTAGATTGTGAGAGACACAAAAACAGACACACACATACTTTATCTCTCCAGGTTGCCTGTCCTGAGGGGACACCCTGTCATCCCGCAGACAGGGGTTTGCCTCAACTGTCTCCCCTAGCGACAATCCAGTTGCCAAGGTGATGTTGGCGGGGTGATTAGCTGACGCCCACCCTCAGTGTCAGCACAGCACAGCAACTGTGTCACGGGTGTTGGCAACTCTTGCCATCACACACAAACACACACACACACACACACACTCAGAGACACACACACACACACACACTCTCACTCACACAAATCGAGTCTGACTTTTTGTGCCTTGACAGACTGCCAGCTCAATCCAAAATAAACTTCTTTCAAAGACAGCCAGACATCACAATAGCATAAATAGCATAAATAATTCAACAACATGAGCATGAATAACTCATGTCAAAATGAGGATTCCTCTCCACTTCTTCACCCTCTGCCGCTGACAGGAACGTCCTGCATGTGTGTCGAATTGGTTCTTGCATTTGCATGTGCACCTATGCCTGTGTCTGTTGATGTGGAAGTAGGTTTATTTCTACCAACCTCTTGTGTACCTCGTGTGATGTCTACAATTTATGTTGCCAAAGTCAAAATGTTATGGAGGTAAAGGTGTGTGCCAATGTGCATATACTTAACACCTTTAGGACCACATTGTGACAGAAAATCTTCTCTGTTTAATGGAGGGAAGAAATTTAATGAATTATTATTTGCCATTTTTCATGGATTTTGGTTGAAGTAGATTGGATTTAGTCATGTTGTGCTGTTATGCCTTTTTCCTGCTGATATTTTTTCTTCCTTGGGATTTGTTTTTCCTCTATTCAAAGCCTGGCATTGTTATAAAAATTAATTCAGTAGCAAAAGTGCTTTCATTGCAGTTGTTACTAAATCGTCCAATTCTCTCACAGTTTGAGAATATTTTAGTTGTGACTTGCACAGTCGCTGTGGTCATGTAAAACTATTTATCCATCTACTACATTCACTGATATAATAAGAATATCTTCTAGAAAAGGATTGAGGCTTTCTGGGCCTGTGTTGCAGTTTGTTGCTAACTAGGGATCTCGACTATTATCCTTTTAGCTCCCTGTCAGATTTGGTGTCACCTTAAACCACCAGAACAGATCCTGGTGTTGGTTGGTGTTTGTTATTTACAATAAATATATATAATAAAATATATATTTTTCTGTGTCTGCAGGCATTCCGGAGGGTTTAGATGGACGTCTGGACACTGTGGTTCTTTAAACAATAATGCTGTAACAAACAGTGCAAAGAAGGTCAAGGAGAACAGACTCCAGAAGGTAAAAGAGAAATCTATGGGTGTTATTATGATGTGTTAATTTTGTATATATATGAGCCAACATATTGGTTTGATTCATAACCTTTAGATTGACACAGCCACTTTAACTTGTTAATTCACAAATAAACATTAACATAGTGACATTTTGTAACTTTATTTACATATTCATTTATCAAAGTGAAGCACTTTGGTCAACCAAGTTGTTTTAAATGTGCTATATAATTAAAATTGACATTGACATTGGTTAATTTGGTCATATACTTCCTGTTAAGCCTGATTTCCAAGAGGTTACCTGCACCTTTATGGATGTCTTCAAATTTCCATATATATATCCATATGTGAATTAAATGTATACGTGCATTCATGAAAACACCAAGGACACCAAGCATGGCTTGATATAAGATTTTACACCCAGGAGCTTAATTTTAGAAATCATTACCATAGATCTAGATCTAGTTTACTGCCTTAGTGTGAAGAAGACCAAGAATGATTTCATTCTTATCATTTTAATTTCAGCAGAGGCCACCCCCTGCTTATAAATATCCCCTTGTAAAAAATACAGATTTTCATTGAGAAGCAATAACTGTAATGTCCAGCAAGGATACTTTAAGTTGTTGTAGTATTTATAGTAAATTGTCACCAGATTGCAATATGTAAGAGGTTTAATCAAGAATAATTAAAATTTTATGACACAGACTCAAAGAATGTTGAAGAATATCTTATGAAGCAAGCTTTTATTCATCTATTTGTTTGTTTGCACATTAAAGAAATAATGCAAAGTGCAAATGTAGGAATAGGTCACATTCCAACATACAAATTCAGGTCACTCCCACCCTCCCTGTCTCCTCCCCAGCTGTCAGCAGGCAAGATGAAGATCCGAGTGCTGAAGAACGAACCTCTGACAGGTGAGTAGTTTTCACAACCTGGCCTAGACCTCACACAGACATGTTTCCAAAAACTGTTGGTCCTTTGATAGACTACCTTGTACTGAAATCCTCTCTACCCTCCACAATGATGTTAGCATTCAAGAGCAGCCACAGGGCACCACCCTGCTAACTGGATAAGGTTCAGTGTCTCGCCCACGGTTAACTTCAATAAGTTGGATGCTTGCCATAGCAGAGGCCAGTCTGTACGGTGCTCTTGTTAAAGATTGATCTCTAACCAGTTGTAAAACTTGGCAGTATTATTAATCTTTTGAACATGCACAAGCACAAAGTCCCACCTTTTACTCAGCTTGTTTGAAAAAAGCACAGATGTAACTTAAGTAATCTACATGTATATAGCAACAGCACATGTCGTTGTATTTGGTGTATGGAATGCTTTTGACCCCAGTGGCTGAAGATTGCAACAAGTAGCTTTTTGCACAGGGACCACATGCACGTCTGGTTCTTGTCAAATATTCTTGTGTAAACTGTGTTTCTGTGCTTGTCTCTACATTATTGTCAGACAAATATCTTCAAATGTCAGTGGTAGTAAATGAAATCCCCATGGTCTAGTCTAACAGAATATTTGCTCTTTTTAGTCCAGCCTCAGCCGCCCCCTCTACCCCCTAACATTGGTCTTCGGACAATAAGAAAAAACAGGCTGACGGGAACAATCTGTGGACAGTGTGAAGTCAAGACAGCTGGACTGGTAAATGCACTTAAATACACCCAAACAACACTGTATGGCTGAAATTCCTGTAACTTTAATGTGGGTGCTTTCTACCGGACCAAAAGTCATCACCCTCCTGTGGACATACCTTTTAAAAATGCCCAATGACACAAACTCATCTTTTTTGAGGCATCAGGTGTCTAATTGATCTCACACACACACACACACACACAAACACAAACATTTAAAACATAAACCCATAATTAAAATCCTTGTCTGTGTATTTTCTCTCGTTTTTCTACCTGACATCATTCTCCATCTGTTTATGTAGTGCTTTACTGTCCCTACTTCTGCCCTCTATCTCTTTAATGTATCTTTCTGTCTGCATTAGCTGTTCTGTGATCTCCTGTCCTTCACTCTTTCTCCTTGCCATATGTGTTTATTCTTCTTTCTTTCTCTCTTACACTTACACACTCTCACATTTTTGTCATTCCTCCAACCTATCCTCGTTTCCCCCTCTACTATATCCCTACCTGATTCTTTCTTTCTTTTTCAACCCCCTCCATCATATTTGTGTGTCTTTTTCTTTCCTCGCGCTGCCTCTGCCTTGCCGTGCCTCTGCTGTCCAATCTGTCGGGTCTATCTGTGTGTTTGTGTTTGCGCTGATAACAGTTTAGCTGGATCCATTCATCGATACCCGAGACCTCTGAGGGCACCATTGTTTATTTTCCCTCGCTCTTCATCCACGACTGCTCAGGAGGAGGAGGGGCAACTGCAACTGTATTTGTGAACAAGAGGAAGAGCTGAAACCAGTAATGAAAAGCCTTAGTGTATGTGTATATAGCAGTCTGTGGCAAACTGAGCTGAGTGATGCATGCTTGATGACCAGTCACTCCCACATGCCCGCCTTCTAAATCCTCGGCTTCTCATGTGTAATTCTTATCGTATTTCTGACTGCCAGCAGAGGTTGGTATTGAATAAATGATGCTTCTGAGAGACAGTGGGACAGAGAAGGAGAGAAATAGTTGTAGAAAGAGAGACTGAAAGAGGGAATGAAGGAAAGGGGAGGGACTGAACTGATTCCACTGACAGCCACCATTTGTCTGCCACTTTGTTTTTGAGTAAGTTATTTTTAAGTGCAACACACACACATTGTGGTAAAATGTAATGTGGTGATTTGCTTGAAAGTGCATCTGGTGGTGTTGAATCGTCCGATGAAGGCTTCAGTGCCCCCAGTGCCCCTTAGAGAGGGGCTTAATGGCAATGCTTGTAGTAGTGTGGGCTAAATATACACACAGATACACACAATCCACTCATGTACACATGCACCCATTTCACATAGCCCCGGTGCCCAATAATGATGGCAATATAGGAGAGTGTTACGACTCTGTTTCTGCTGTTATGTCTGAAACTGCACTTAACCACATAAATGCACACTCACAAACACATAGTCGTATACACATCTGGGCTTGTTTTAAACTATGACTCAACAAAAATCACATGCACACACACGCACACACACACTTGTGCAGTGATCTAGAGTTATCCAAGCAAAAAAAGATCCTGGGCTCCTTCTTGCGAAGCACACGAGAGCCCAGTGATGTGCCGCTCACTGCCTGAGAGGGATTCCGACTCCCTGTGGACGTGCTGTAATTTATCCTCAGGCCTGAGAGAGGAAATCAGGCCCTGGTTTATGGGACCATTAAAGGGCGATATAGCAGCTGTACACTTGCATGTTCACTCACACACTCACACACAACACACATTGATATGTGTGCTAGAGCAAAAACAAATCAACACAGACAAAAATGCAACCTTTAAATAAATTGATGCACAATAACCAACTACTGCTAGAAACCACTCACTCGCTAAGACTCCATCTATGCACAATTAGAGCGCGGGTGATGGAGCACAATCAGGCAGGTTTTTTGATATGTTCATCACAGTTCTGCAAGGGCCACAGACACTGGGTCTTTTCTTTTTTTTCCTCCAACGACATATTTATTATTGGCTATCAGGATTTCAGGAGAACTTCAACAAATACAATGAAAAGTGTTGCAGAAGCTAATTACCAACCCTACCTTAAAGTCCCACTACACTAACGTTTTACATTCTGAATTTCTCTTGGTATTGATGATGAAACCATGAGCCATAACGAAAAAATGCCTGCATGCCAAATGAAAAGAACCAAAGAATGATCGGCTGTTTATTTTCTATTTGTTGTTTCTTCAATTTTAAGGAGCCTTGGTCCTGTGCTTGCTCCCACCTTTCCTTCCATGGATTTTTCCTTCTTATTCGCATGCCTCCACTCCTGTTCTTGCCTGTGTTCTCCATCCACCTATCTCCCAGACCTGCTGATGCAAGGAATTTCCTCCACTAATAAGATCAAATTCTCACAGATAGAAATGATAATGACCTCCCTTAAGATGCTTTCACTTACTCACTCACTCACTCACACTCACAACACACACACACACAATTTACACAAATGCATACATGTACACACAAGCACACCCACAAGCACTGCCTGTATAGCTCTCTGACACTCACACACACACTCACACATTGCAGCATCCAGCCAAAGAATCTATTTCAATATTCCTCCCTCCTGTCAAAGTTTGTTTGGCAAGGTTGACTTTAGAGGAAGGTAAAAGACCTCCAGCTTTAGGTGTAATCTCTAAGAAGTATTGCTTTCTAAGTTTTCTGGTCGTTACTGCAGATTGTTTGTCTATTGTGATCATGCACAGTGCATTATCATTCTTTTTCATGCTATTCTTGCCTTGACACATGAACACACTTCACATCCATTTATCTGCCTGGTGTTTCTCTGTTTTGCAGAGTTGCGTTGAATGCACAGAGCACTATTGTGTCGGCTGCTTTGCCAGATTTCACCAGAAGGGGGCACTGAAGCTCCACAGAATGATCCCCATTCAGGTGAGGAAGCTACCATGCGCGTCAAGTTTATTTTCACCCTTATCTTTGTCTGTTTCTCTCCGTCTCTTTCTCTTTCAAAGATACTTTCAATAATATCTCATCTGATCCCATTCTGCCTCACTCATTCTTTTGTCTTTCTTGCATCCATTGCTATGTTGTCTACTTCTCAACCTCTGGTATTTTTTCCCTCTTTCTCTGCTTCTGCACCCTATCTCACCTGGTACACACACACACACACACACGCATGCGTGTAGTCTTGTCATCATGTCTTCAGGGGACATTGCATTGACTTAACATTAATTCCCTGGAGACTTACTATAACCTTAACCACTGGCTTTATCCTAACCCCTACCTCAACCTAAGCCCAACTTTACCCTAACCTCAAAACATGTCTTCACCCTCAAATTTAATTATTAACATTGTGGGGATTTGCTTTTTCCCCATAACGTGACTGTGTAAACTGATTTAGGTCCCCACAACATGAGTAATACCTGGACCATGCATACTGTATACTATGAGACTCAATGACACACTCACATTGAGACAGAGAACAGGCCTTGGGCAGCAGTCAACCCAAGACCAGCCACAGCAGTCTTCAGTCAAAGATAAGACAGAGAGACAAGACAGCAGGTCAATGGCAGAGAGTTTAATTTAGCCAGCACACTAGTGTTGGATCCACAAAATGGAAAACAAGATTCTGCTATTAATCAGCTGAGAATATGACTCGTAATTTGACTCTTGGTGACACATCTGCGGACACAAATCTAAATAAATTATGGAGTTGTCAAACCCAGAGTATACTTATGAACATAAAGAGCATGTATACACATATATATATGCTAAAAATAAACACTGGACCAGGAATAGAATTGTTTAAATTAGTTTAAACTACTTAATATTCTATTGCCAAGTGTCAAAACACCATGAGCTACATGGGAAATCAAAGCTAATTTCTAGTATCTGTGATTCATGTGACTAAACGTCCCTTTTTATGGATTGGCTACCTTAGCAAATGTAAACCATATTGTGACATGCTCACCTGTGTGTAACTGCAATGATCTATCATATTATGGTCCATCTTGGTAGCAAGACCAAACCATCACTGGCTATTGGTCATAAGTGACACAGGAAAAACATATATTTTAAAGTCTGGCCATATTAGGCTCTGGTGCTTAAGGGAACTCATGTAATGGGAAATGGACTCCTTGTGTTGTTTTTCTCCAGTGTGTGTGTGTGTGTGTGGTATCTGATTCAGGTTGTTACTTCATGTACTTATGACTCATGTGTATCTTCTGTTTTCTGCTGGCTGTACTATATTTTCCCCTCACAGGATGTATGTGATTTTGCCAGCTAATTTTCATATTATTGTTTTCTTGGGCACAATAATTTCCCTCTAGAAGCACATGCTATAATATGCGCTTTCTGTGTATGCATGGATATGGCTGTGTGAATTTACATTTTTATGGTTTACCTGTCAAAATGTTCTCTGTATATTTCTGTGCACATTTGTGTCTGACAGTATGTGTGCCTCTATGTTGTTTTGTGTCGCTTCAGAAGCAAATTTCTGTGTTTTTTGCATCGAAATGCGGCTTTGGCTGCATTTTTCTGTCTAAACCCGTCCGAGCTTGAGAGAAAACTAACTCAGCCTGACCAGAATCCGACAGCAATTCTGTTTTTAGTTTCCAAACCTGACCAGAGCCTGATGCAGTTAATATGAGCTGCTCAAAGGTTGTGTTACCCTGCCTCTGACATGCTTCTTTTCACCAATAAAACATATAAGCATTGTAAAAAGCACAGCCAAAGAAATTGACCTAATTTGAAACCAAATAAAATTTTAAAAGTCCATTCTAAACTAGCCCTTATGCAGTCTATGTGACAACTTACCTCTAGGTAGTCAACAGACTAGTACATACTAGGTAGCCAGCATGGTGGAAAAAATCTACAAACATTGACAGCGACAAACAGTACACACATTGTACCAGCTCAATGAAAAGAGAGAAAACAACACTTTCTCTTCTGTCCTGGCTGCAGCACTCAGTGATGCATGGGTGGAAGTTCTCTCAAACACAAACTTGCATTCTGTTATTCAATCACACACACAAAACTGTGTATTTTGGCAGGACATAAAAACTGGGGATTATACACATGCAGCTGACGCAGCCATCTCTCTCTCTCTCTCTCTATGCTAATCCTGTTTCATTTGCCTTGGAAAGAATAAGTGGAGGGAGAATCATAGAAAGAGAGACAGAAAGACAAAAACAGAATATTAATTTCATCAGCATGCTGTTTTAGGGCTTTACTCAGTACCTCATCGGCCCATGTGTCCAGCCTCACACACGCACAGATAGATTTAGCCTAACCTGTGTGTGGTACATTAAATTATTGAATTACATTTAATTTAGCTGATGCTTTTATCCAAAGTGACTAATAATAGTTGCATTCAACCATGAACCAGAACAGCAAAAATCATGTAAGTACATTAGCTTCAAAAAAGCCAAACTACAAAGTGCTAAATGTAAGTGAAATATATAAGTGCAACTACTTTTTGTAGTCGGAAGAGATGTGTTTGTATCCTTTGGCGGAATATGTGTAGACTTTCTGCTCTCCTGAGGTCAATGGGGAGCTCGTTCAACCATTTGGGAGACAGGACAGCCAACAGAAGAAGGTCGGGAGCAATAGACTGGAGAATGTGAGAAGGGGTCGAGGGGGGAAGAAGAACTTGATTGGGAAACAGGTGGGTGAAAGAGGGTAGAGTAGGGGATAAAGATGTGGTTGATGGAGAGGTTATTTCATAAGGTGGGTTGGGTCATCTTTCTTTTGACAAAAGTAGTTGACAAATTGTTTTGGTACAAGTAAGGAAAGAGGAGTGGGACGATGGAGAAGAGTTCTGGGGGGTTGGAGAATGAGGATGTATTTTTGTCTGGTACCAGATGAGTGTGGTATGCTGCATCAAAGTAATGCAGTTATAATTAACATTATATCATATATTGAAAAAATGTAAAACGTTACAAAATCTCACTATCTTATCTTTCTCTCTCTTTGTC